GAAGGTTGCAGAACCTTTAGGAAGTGGAACCTTGCTGGAGAAAGATCACTGGAGACAGGCCTTGAGATTTCATAGCCTGACCCTCATCTCGTTCACTTTCTGCTTCCTGTCTGCAGATGTCATGTGACCAACAGGCCTCTTGCTCCTGCCGCCATGCCTTCCCAATCATGATGAACTGTGTCTCCACAAACTGTAAGCCAGAACAGCCCCCCTTCCTTCCTTAAATTGCTTCTTGTCAGGTACTTTTTCACAGCAGTGACAATCGCTAACGTGACAAGTAGCTAATATACTACTGACGTTTAAATTTATTAAAATGAAATAAAAGGAAAACTTCAGTTCCCCCATCACAGTCACATCAGACCCACTTCAAGCGCTTAATAGCTACATGCAGTCAACTCATCCCCGGCTGTCACCTCTGGGCAGACTTCTAAAGACATGGGAAAATATGAAGCTAGGACCCCTCTGTGTTCCTCTCTGGCTAGCCTGAGCCTCATCCCCTTGTATTGTCCTTGTTCCTCACACCCTAAGCTCCTTGTTGATAGCAATAGGCAGAATCCAAGTCATCGTTATCCTTTACAGTGGCTGATGCATGCAGGACACTGATGGTTGTTCCTCTTTCATTCCCTTATGAATTATCTTGACTGGGAGCAAGAATAAGCTAGAAGTTGTTCATTTCACATTTTATATTTTTAAAAAATGAGTGAGCAACTCCATCACATGCTCTCTCTTTTCAGGTACTGACCCCTGAGGCTCTCTGAGAATGAACCCTTCCTCTTCTCACCCTCCCTTCCCTTCCAAGATCAAACTCCCTTCTTGTCTTTGAGAACCACAGGGAAACAGTCTGGCAAGAGCCACTGTTGTACCAGCTGATTTAAATTGAAATGTTTTCCCCAGATAAATGCGTGCTAAATAATACACCAGCTCTCCAGCCAAAGGGAAGTGACAGGCACTCTGTAAATAAAGGCACTTAGTTGCTGGTAAAGAGCTGTAAAGTGGTTCTGAGCTGATGTTTGCTGACCAGCAAGAAACAGCTTCACCTGCTTTATATAATTGTCACTCCAGCTCTGCCTGCTGTATATTAAAACTGCATCTCATAGAGCCAAATGTCACATCGGATAGACCATCCCGCCTGGAGTAAGCCACATTTTGCGGTAATTGTTTTTGACAACCAACCATCACATCTCCTATCTTTTCAGAAAGTGTCTGGTCCAGAATCCCTAGGCTGGGTCAGTTCTGACACCATGTGGGCTAGAAAAGCGACACCAGATGCGAATTTGGAAAAAGGAGTGAAGAGAAAAGAGAGGAGACTTAGTAATATGCTGTGGCAAGTACTCGGACACAGATCCTCCCCACAGAGGCCCTGCTTTCTCAATGTCAAGATGCCCTTTTCATGTTAAATTGTAGCACGTAAGAAAAAACTTCCCACACAGCTACACGACGACTCTAGCCCAAATGCACAGCACTATCCTGAGTCCACATTTCTAGATCCTGCTGGCTTCTAGAGAAATGGCAACCCAACTCAGGAAACAAAGCAGCTGCTGAGGTTTCCCCGAAGACCATGGGACACATAAGAATGAAATTTGGTGTAGCAGGTATAAGAAATCTCTAAGGTTCTCACTCAGGGAGGGGAGTAGATTTGTTTCCCAAATTGCAAAGAGCAAATCCTCCATGATGCCATAATTCTGGTGTCCACTTGGAGTGTGGACATGCCAAGATCCTGGATTGAGAAACAAGTATCAGAGGCAACTGGGCACAGCAGCTGATCAAAAGGGTCTAGAGGGGAACAGCGGGGCCATTCGGCTCATCCACCTAGCCCATGAGCTGGAAAGAACTCAAAGTGCTGGACACAGGGTGAACTCCAGAGGTGAGCACTGGGGAAGAACCTCTTCTTGGTGCTGTGAACCACCACCTGACCACTGCCTTTGGAGCATTGGAATGTAATCAGAGAATGGTGCTGAGGCCAAGGACAGGACAGGAGCAGATAGGGTAAGAAAAAAAAGGAAACGCAGGTTTGGCTGCCGATAGCTTCAACATTGCGTCTTAGGAATAGTCCTCACTGCTTGTTCCCAGGAGGCACCTGCTCTATCCCACTTCGGCCTGACCCACTTTGGCCTGAGAGTCCAGGAGAACCACTGCCTCCTGGATATGCACCCACCCTCTCTGCCTACTTCTGAGTGTACCTTAGCTCACTCTTGCCGCTGCCAACTACTGTCAACTGTTGGTACTGACAACAGAAATTGTCTTCTCATAGTTCTGGAAGCTGAAAGGTCCTGGATCAAGGCACTGCCTAGTTTCTGATTCATAAATGAAGTCCTCTCTGTCTTCCCATGGCAGTGAGGGCATAGGGGATTTCGATAAGATCTATTTTATGAGTAGCAACCCCATTTGTGAAAGGCCTATCTTCATGACCTAATCACCATCTCAAGACCCCAAAGTGCACCTCTGTCATACAATGCCTGTGAAAGTCAGAAGAGAACATCTGATTCCCCTGGAATGGTAGTTACAGGCAGTTGTTAGCCACCATGTGGGTGCTGGGAATTGGACCTGGGTCCTCTGCCAGAGCGGTTAGTGCTCTTAACCACTGAGCCATCTCACCAGCCCAAGACCCCACTCTTAAAACCCATAGAAAGTTAGAATTTCTACATATAAACAGTGAGGGTTGATCATTCAGACTCTAGCAATGTATACATATGCACACAAAAAAGAAAAAGAAAGAGGGCCCTTCTTTCTTTAGAGAAAAATCAGTTTCTCCTTACACACTTCTTGCTGACATCTATTTTCTTTGCTTAGTTCTATTTTTTTGAAGCAAGGCTTTTGAGCATGGGGGAAGTTTTTTGGCTGGTTTGGATATTGTACAGAATTAGAGGCAGGATAAGACTTAAGAGAGAGCTTAAAAGAATACCTAAGTCAGGTGCACATGTGGGTAGATCATACATTGGGACTCATCCACAGACCCTGAGGTCATGATGGCATTGGGAGGACCCAGGCATGCAGGGGAAAGGGAGTGCTGTCCTCCCCGTCCTGCTCCCTCCATCTCTACCCCAAAGGGAGAACTGGTCCTTATAATTCTTTCCATCCCACTTGCTGTTTCCTCCCCAGGATAGAAGGCATGTCTGAACATGTTGATCAGCATGTTCGGTGCACTCGGTTTGTTAGTGTGAAGATTTATTCTGCCTTACAGCAGCCTGTACTGGTCACCCAGGGAGCTTATTAGAATGCAGATCTGACAGGTACGTCTGGGGTGGGCCAGGAGATGATGCGTCTCCAACAAGCTCCCCCAGGTCACATTCCTGCCAGGGCAAAGGTGGGGGAGACAAATTGAAAAGCAGGGGCTAAAAGGCAGGTACCACATACCAGGGTGCACCCTCCGCCGCCTCAGCTTACTGTCTTCTCATATCCTTTCTCCCCTGTGCACCCGAGGCAGGTTGGACAGGAGACAGGCTTCTGCCTCCTGTATGTGCAAAGAGCTAGAGCTCAGGGCTTCCCTTAGAGCCTGGGCATGTTGCTGTCTTGCATAGATGAGCCAAGATTTATGTTCTGGGATAGTAGACAGGATGGTGGAACGAAGAGGTCAAAATCAGACCTCAGGCAGGGTTAGGCTAGAAGAATAGAAACCACTCAGATTCAAGCATTAGAGGTTGATGTAATCATCTAAAGGGATGCAGAAGACCAAGGCAAGTATGCCCCCATTTGCCACTTCACAGGCAATGGCAAAGTAGACCACGCTCCGGCTTCACCAGAAGCTGCTGTGATCCTCAAGCTTCTCAGGGTCGCACCTCCTCTCCCAGTCCCCAGCAGCCAGGCTACTGATTCTCAAGAAGCTTCCCCAAGAGTGGCTTTGAACTTCAGGGATGCTCGGGGTGTGACTGCAAAGCAGCAAGGCCTCTCCTCCTCCATCCCACCCCAGGACTCTTCCTTCACTGGTCAGTTCTCCCCCAGAGCCAGTGCAAGGAAGAAAACCTCTAAAGGGGAGGTCTCTAGGAACTATAGCTTCTGGTTTCATGGCAGTGCTGAGCAGACCTTAGATGGGAATGGTAATTTGGAGTTGTCAAAAGGTAGCAGATCACTAAAGTATAAACTACATGATTGAACTGAGGTTCCAGAAAGACCTGCGTGTAAGCTATACCCAGCCTTCAATAAGGAGAGTCCTACCCCAGCAGCCCCATTCCTCATGGGTCTTCTTCCTGGAATGAAAGGAATGAAAGGGTTCTGACTCCCATCTGTCAGTCAATGGCACTCATCAAGTAGGCCATGCTTGACAGCCATCCTATAGCTCATGGGGTGGGGGTGTCATACCCTCTTGCTACATGACTTTCAGTATTTTTACCATCTACACAGAGGTGTCACTCAGGAGAATGCTTAGTCTTCTATCTTTCCAGATCCTGATTTCCAAGTTCCCCCAAAGACTACCAGATGACATCTTTACTTGTGACCACTTGCCCAGAAACCCAGAACCAAGAATAGGGAAGATTAGGGCCCAGACAGAAGATAGTTGTCAGGCAAGCATCCCCTCTTGCTAAATAACTTCCAGTATTTTTACCATCCACACCCTGCAGAGATCTCCACCCCTCTGTGAAGAGAGTCTCAGATGTGGCCCTAACCTTAGCAAAGCTTAACACACCAATCTCAGTTCCATCAAAAGTATGTAGAGGAAGGAAACATAGGGAATTGGGCAGCTGGCACATTTTCGTTGCTCTGATACTTAGCCAGTGACCCTGATCATAAAGCCCATTGTCTGGAAAGGCTGAGAAGGTGACCATTTAAAGACTCATTTACTGTCTTAAAAGTCAACCTATTTGCAGGAGGCAGCACACATCAGGGCCTGCATCCCAGGATGGCAAGAACAGATGCTCCAGTGTAAGCTAATGTTGCAACAACCACAGGTCTCACTGCCAGGCAGGCTGATGTGAGCCTCTTTGAATTACTGAGTGAGGGATAGCCCGCTTGCCAGCCCCTGTCCCCTGTAGGCACAGCAGAGAAGTATTACAGGCTGTCCTTACCTTGGGAATTAGCCTGCAAGACCCCGATGCTGTCATCAAACTGCATAGATTTGATGTTGAGTGACGCCAAGATGCATTCCTTGTCCTGCAGCGAAGTATCATCAATATTATTCTGATTGGCTGACAGGATAACGCACATGTCACAGAGGTTGATGTTGACAGCCCTTAAATCAGCCCGACTTAATGGCGTACCCTTTGGCATGGGGTGGGGGGAAGAGAGAGAGAGAGAGAGAGAGAGAGAGAGAGAGAGAGAGAGAGAGAAAATAAAAACAAATTAAAGACTGAGCTGGAGCTTTGGGAAATTATTTAACAAGTATCTTTTTTTATGTCTTGACATTAAGCTGGCCTAACTACATTTCAGGGAATAGGGGCTGCGTGCTAATCTAAAGGGTAGTTGGTGCTGATGGCAGCATTTCAGTTTGGCTCTCAATAATCAATCAAGCTATTACTAACAAATGTGTGAGAGGAATAATGCCAGGGTCTACATCTTCCTCCTGCCTGGAAATTGTCTTGATTTAAGTAACTGTCCTGTGGCAACCTCTGGCTTTCAGAATGTAACGAGGGGGGTGGATTTCAAACGCCTGTTTATTTAATAGCAGGTCACTTCTGTCTCAAGCAAAAGACAGCATTTCCAATGAGAATTTCCAACACAGTCAGGAGGAAATCAGTGGAGCAGGGTGAGATGAGGTAGGGCTCCCAGCTCTGCTCAATTTGGAGGCTGTGGGAGGGAGTGGAATTAGTGTGTGTCTTGCAAAGGGGACAGGGAAGGAAGCAAGCTTGGGTCATAAAACTTTATTGCATATTTTTCCAGTGAGAAAAAAAAGTCAAGGAAATAATGTAATTATCCAACAACATAGGAGTATTTAACATTGAGAGATGGCTCAGCAGTTAAGAGGACTGGATGCTCTTGCAGAGGAACTAGGTTCAGTTCTCAGCACCCATGGTGGCTAACAACCATTCACTACCCCAGTTCCAGGGAACCTGACGCCCTCTTCTGGCCTCCATGGGCTTTGAACAACACAAGGGCACTTATACACATGCAGATAACACACTCAGACACATAAAACAAAAATAATAATAATAAAACATAAATATCTTCAGGACACGTGGACAAGAGGAGAGTGTCCTGTGGATGGAGACAGAGTTACCTCTTTATGCACTCTAATGACTGAGAAAAATCTCTAGCAAAAAAGGGGTGAGTATGGGATAAGGGAGGAGTTTGAGAACAATTTGAAAAGTACAACTCCACTAATCTGAACAAGATAAAACTATTTGAAGTAAAATTATATATTTATAAATGTATTTATAAAAGTATGCAAATTCAAAGAGAAAACTCTGGGAAAAATACACACTAAACTAATAACAGTAATTACATAGAATGGAAGGGATGAAGGGGAAAGTTTGCTTTTGACTTTATGTACTTCTATATGGTTTGAATATTTTATAACAAGAATATATTTGTATATTAGTGGTGCAATTAAAAATAAATAAGCCAGTAAACAGATTTTTTTAAAATCCCATAACAACATAAGACAGTAGAAAAAAAAATACTTTGCAGATCCAGGGTTAATGATGGAGTTGGGGAGTGTAATCAAAGGTATGATACAGAAGGATGGGACCAGGACCCTACACCCTGTCCTCAGGAGGAGGACCCAGCAGAAGTAACTAGGCTGACCCATATCAGTCAGCAACTATGCAGCATCACCCTGTTTGGGGGGGGGGGTCCCATCTAGCCACCATCTTCCTTGAACTTCTAACCTGAGTCTAGCTTCCCCTTGACTCTATGAAGACCTCTGTTGCCTTCAACCCACAGCCTGTATAGGGCAAAATACATATAGACTGCCATATGTATCTCTGGACATATAGCTATGTGTTATCGCCTTTTGCCCTCATCCCTAGAGAAGAGACTTTGATAAGAGAACCTGGCTATCAACAAGGAGCCCATCAACTCTATTTTAAGACTTGGTGGAAGCCATGATTCTATTCTAAGCCTCCTAAACACACTGCTGTAAGGTAGAATCACAGAGGGAGGGCATCTAGGGCCAGAGATGCTGGGAAGAAATTGGTCCAGGCACTGAAGCACTTTCTTTTGGGAGAAGAAGAACGTCATCTGTTATGGTCTTTTGGTACAAAATAAGTCTGGCCAACTTCCTGCGTCATGTTGCCAGTGTATATAAACCTCAGCTATCTGCACCCATGTTCTTGTAGGAAACCCAGCAGCCATTGTGATATAAGGCAATCCATGTACAGTTGCAGACATGTGATATCAAATCAAAGAAATACCAATGACACACATAGAAAGCTTCTGTGTTCCTCTGAGCTAACCTTATATTGCAGGACACTGTTTAAACAATGAGGTATATGGAGGCACAGGCCAAGGACCACTCCCTACAAATCCACTCTGCTTGAATATGCTAAACTTTGCATTTAAAAAATATATTTTGTTATTTTTATTTTATGTGTCTGAGCATACTGCCTGCATGTATGTAAGTGCACCTGTGCTGTGAAGTGCCAGCAGAGGTCTGTAGAGGGCATTGGATCCCCTGGAACTGGACTTATGCAAGGTTGTTAGCTACCAATGTAGATCCTGGGAACCAAATCCAGGTCCTCTACAAGTGTAGCCAGTGCTCTTAACCGCTGAACCACCTCTCCAGGCCCCAAACTTTGGAATATTTGCAACAGCTCTACAAATATGAGATTCAATCCAATCTATGGAGGCAGATGAGGAATGTGGAGAAGGGCACAGAGAGGGAAATACAGAAACACACACACACACAAATACCAAAGGTCACACACTCCACCCTTTCTCTACACATGAATACACTCGTGTATCCTAGGAAATTAGTTCAATATTTACAGAGATACCTTCAGAGAGCGAGAGATCATGTGGAACAGCACAGTAAGAAGATAATCATTGAAAAGTACAGTCCAATTTTCCATGTTTATGAAATTAGCAAAGCATATACAATATATGTATATGGTCTTCTAGCGAGTGAATTATTTATTTACATGTGACTATCTTTAACTGCAAGCACTCATTAAAACAGTAAGTTGTTCATCCTGCATCCAAAAGAGATCTGCTTAATGTTTTTCATGCTTTTAGATGATTTATGGGGGACATAGTGTGCTGGGAATTATGGAGATAAATTCACACACGGGGGTACTGAGTGTGGATTACCCTTATATATTCTTTAATGCATTGTATTACTTGAATGTTGTTGGTACATTTCTGAGGTTCTGGAAACCGATAACAGAAATAATTGATTTGGGCTTCAAAAGTAGCGTGTCAGGCGTGGTGGCACATGCCTTTAATGTCGGTACTTGGGAAGCAAAAGAAGGCAGATCTCTGTGACTTTTGAGGCCAGCTTGGTCTACAGAGTAAGTCCTAGGCCAGCCAGGGCAACATAGTGAGACCCTTTCTCAAAGAAAAGAAAAAGTAGAGGACCCCTTGACAGCTAGGGAATTGTGTATTCCTTAATTTTAGGTATGAACTGATAACACAAATGTTTGGAGGATAAGTAATATTCAAATATTTTTTATTTTAATTTTTTATTTTGAGAATTTCATACATGAGTATCGTCTTTGCAAAACTCTGAAAAGCGTAATACTCTATATATGTCCGTAAGTTTTTGAAGGCCTGGAGACAATAAATTATGATTAGAAAGTAGTTATCTGACTCTTAAATCATGCATCTCATACCCTCACAGTAAATTGCGGAGTCCCAAACTGTCCATTATAGATTGGTGTGCTAGTACCTTTGTAAGCAAGAAAGCCACATATGTATATGTGCACACACGCACAGCACACACCCAAAGCTGTGAGAACATTGCAAGTCTTTTAAATACAGGCTGGACAGAGTAGACAGCAGCTGACTCACAGAAGAAGTTGCAATTCTGTATGGCAGGGATAAAGAATTCTGTTTCTATTTATTTGGTCAATATCAGAAGGTGGAACAATTCAAAGTTTCTCTAAGCATTAACCACATCCAATTAAAATGCTATCAATAATTCTGTAAGTAAATTACTGGTGTATGTATCAAAATACTGCAGCATCCTAAATTTCACCTGTTAGAGAGTTTGGACAGTGGTATAGTTAATGCACGTGATGGCAGCTCCGTTTCATTCCTGATGAGGGGTGGTACTTGACTGCAAAGTCCTTTTAATAAGGTCTCCCAGGGTTTTGACTTCCTTAGCAGAGCAGAGGAAAGGCTGCTGAGTCCTCAGGCCTGAACCCACATAAAGCAACAGGGGCATGATCAAAGCTTCAACAATTACAGACACCTGGGAATTCTTTTTGTGACTGAAAAGATGAAGAGAAAAATGTCAATAGTGTAACCTTGAACTTACCGGCAATATGGACACTTTGGGGAAGTTGTGAAGTGTCTCCCATTCCCGCTTGAGGTACTCAATGGATCCCACAAACACAATGTGTTTGAGCTCATGGTAGTGGAAGTTGCTGGCACGAAGCGGCATCACCAGGTTCCGGAGGCCAATCAGGGCTGAGCTGACATCCCCAAAGATGCAGACTACGACGTGGCCACTCAGGACAGTCATGGCAGCTTCGCTTCGAGTCTGCAACAGAGAAGTGTGAGTGTGTTGGAGAGAAGTCCTCACAACATTGGTGTCAAGAAAGAAAGCATCATTTGTGCAAAGGGTCAAGTAGATATTGGTTGAGTGCTTACTATGTACTATTGCTATGACTTAGAGGGAGGAGCAGTGTCCTCCAAGGGCTCATTGTGATTAAAGCCTTTGTCTCTAGGATGGTAATGCTGTATGGTATAGAACTTTTTTGGCTTGAAGTCTAGTAAAGTCCTCAGAGTTGAAGCTTAGTTAAGGTATAGGGCAGTTCCCATTGATGGTTCTCATGTGATGACCTGAGTTTGCCAGAGACAGTCAATATAAAAAGAGCAAGCGTGGACCCACCCATCTCCTTTCTCTCTGCTCACGTTTTCTTTTATACACTCCTGCCAAGATCCTCCACCACAACCACCCTCACCAAAGACCAAACAAATGGGGTAACCCAATCTCAGATCTTGAACCTCTCAAACTGTGAGCTAACATTTTCTCCTTTAGAAGCTAGGTGGATGAGGTATTTTATTGTAATACCACAAAGTCGCCTAACATAGCTGTTATTTGTACTGCAATAAAGCAAATATTTAACTGAGAATAATAAATAAGAAATAATCCACAAATATAATGTATAACATCGCACAAGGTACCCTTTCAAATGAATACAAATACACTGGGGGAGCTGGAGAGGTGGCTCAGTGGTTAAGAGCACTGGCTGCTCTTGCGGAAGACCCAGGTTGGATTCCCAACACCCACGGGGCAACTAACAGCCATCTATAGCTCCAGTTCCAGGAGATTCATTGCTCTCTTCTGACCTCCACAGGCATTACATGACACTAGTGCACTTAACATGCAGACAATACACTCACACACATAAAATAAAAATAATAAATGAAATCCTTAAAAGAATATACTGGGGGAAGAAGAGAAATGGATACAAAGGTTAAATATTGGGGTGCCTTGTGGGCTATTTAGCAACATCACTCTTTTTTTTTTTTTTTTTTGGTCTTTTTGAGACAGGGTCTCCCTGTAGCCCCAGCTGTCCTGGAACTCACTATGTAGACCAGGCTGGCCTCGAACTCACAGAGATCCACCTGCCTCTGCCTCCCAAGTGCTGGGGTTAAAGGCGTGCGCCACCATGCCCAGCTAGCAACATCACTTTTAAGAAGTCAAGAAATGGCTTAATCCTGTGTCCTCAACATACTGAAGATTATATAAATTTTCTAATATTTTATTATTATTTTTATGTGTATAAATATATGGCCTACATGTATGTAAGTGCATCTGTGTCTTGCAACGTCTGCAGAGGGTAGAAGTAGGCATCAGATTCCCCTCTGGAACTGGAGTTACAGACAGTTGTTAGTTGCCATGTGGGTGCTGGGAATCGAACCCAGGTCCTCTGCAGGAGCAGCCAATGCTCTTAACCACTGGGCCATCTCTCCAGTCCCATGAGTATATAAAATTTCTTAATGCAGAGAAAGTGTTTTTTTCTTCTTGATTCCATGAATTAAAGAATTTTTTTAAATGTAGGTAGTGGTTACAAGAGGACAGCTATTATTTTAATGTCATCAATATATACATGTTATAGATTTATCTCTAATTGGATGTGTATAGGTTGTACTTTTTAAATGAACTATGCGTAAACATATACACACATCACTACCTTCTTGAGCAACAGATTTTTCAAAAGATAAGTCATGTACACATGTGACCAGGGAGCATTTCACAATAATTGTCAGGACAGGAGGAAAATGAAAAGGAAAAGAAATGTTGATGTATTTGGAACGCAAAGTCTTAGTTTCCATGAAACTGAGGCTAAAGTAAGATGTCTTCTCAGGTCCTTTTGCTAAGATGATGATAAAATGGTCAGGTTCCTTGGTTGGTCTGAGCTGAAATTTGAGGTACTCTTTTTAGACCTGTCAGTGGGATAGCATAGTGCGTAACTATAGCAGCAGACAGAACGTGATCTCCAAGGCCAGGGGCTGGCTGCTATGGCCTGTAACCTTAATCTGTTGTGCCACAAGCTTTTCATGTCCACTGAGCTAAAAATGTTTTTTTGGTTTTGGTTTTTTTTTTTTTTTTTTTAGTTTTTTTGAGACAGGATTTTCCTGTAGCCCTAGCTGTCCTAGAACCCACTATGTGGACCAGGCTGGCCTTGAACTCACAGAGATCTGCCTGCCTCTGCCTCCTGAGTGCTGGGATTAAAGGCGTGCGCCACCACACCTGGACTAAAAATGTTTTTTGTACTCTTCAAAATGACTGAAAAAAGAATGAAAACCAGAAAATGTCATCATAAGTAAAGATAATACGAAGTTCACATTCCAATACAGTTTTATTGGGACACAGCCAACTCATACATTTAGGTATTTTCCATGGCTGCTTTCAGGGAAAGTGGAGTTGATAGCTATGACAGAGATCATATAGCCCATGCCACTTAACACATTCGTTATATGTCTTTATACAGAAAAAGTATACTGATCCCAAGTCCAGACCTTGGGCTCATTCCTGGAGGGGCTAACCTTATATAAGAGCCCACAAATGTCCTTAAGAGGATCTAGCGACATAAGTGAGGGCACAGGCCAGTGTCTTTCCCCAGCCCCAGCCCTGTATCCACAAGGGACTAATGAAGGAATACTCTCATGTAGGTGAAGATCCCAGTTTCCCAGAGACGCAGGTGCTTAGACACTGTTGGCCTTGTGTTCACCCTGCTGGTGAAAAGGACAGTGCAAGCAAGTCACTGGGGAGCCAGGAGGGTGGGGCTTTCTCTGCCTCTCCTTCTGGTCATATTGAACGTGCAGCATTGTTCATCCTGCCTGCCATCTTTGCTGTCCATTCACTGCTTGCCTGGAAGGCCCTAGGGGGTTTACAATGCTTTGGGGGAGGCATATTAATGTCCACTACACATATCAACCTCTACTTGATTTAATCCCTAGCATTGACCAGTGTGTATTGATCGCTTAAATGCCAATACCGCAATTCACGGCAATGTCACGGTTATTACAGTAACCCCCAAGGAGAAGAAGCAGCTAGCTTTCATTCCTGGTCATTAGAATAAAGCACGGGCTTTCATTTTTGTTGGTTTGCCTTTGCAAGAGTGCAGGGAAACTGGAGACACAGGCTATAAGGAATGCCTTACAAAAGAAGACCAAGGAGGTCCTTCTGGAGCTCACCACTTCATGGGAAAGATGTGGGGTTATCTGGGCTGTGTGGAAGCACCAGCACCTGAAGAACCAGAAGTAGAAAGCCAGTCCCTCTGTGGTGTGCTATGATGGGGTTCCCGGATGCTTGTAATTGGCCTGGCCACCTAAGGGCCCAGCTCCCTCTTCAACAGGCCAGGGAAGTGCAAACTGGGTCAAGGATTGAAGCCAGAAATGTAGAATCCACAAATGAGCTAGGTACCAGTTGAAAGAATGGCCCAGGGCAGAAGCTAACCTTAGAGGATTAAGTCCAGGATCAACACCAACTCTCAAATATGCCAGAACAACATCACCTGGGGAAGTATATAAAAATCCAGCTCCGTACCTGGAACCTGGAAAGGCCCAATAGAGAAACCACAGAGAAACTCAGGTGTTTCTCTGCACTCTTCAAGGCCTGAAACCCCTTCCAAGTACAACCTGTTTATATTGGACGGAACTTTCTTGGCCACTTAAACCCAGATTGGCAGTTCTCCCCTAGATTTGAATGGCACTTCATGCCTCATACCTCTTAGCCTCAAAGAGATTATTCCTTGGTTAAATTTTGTATCTCCTATCAGTCATTTGAGTCCTGCGTTCACGGGGTAAATCGGTCCCACAGCATCTTCACACAAGTGCCCCTCCCATCATCTTCATCTCCAACGTTACTGCAGAGAGCTCCCTGGATCTGCCTCAGCGCTACCTGCCAGACCCTTTCCTTTCCAGGACCCTGCTTTACTTTCTGCACAGAGCCCTTTGTTAATCCTGAACTATTCTGCCTGGAGGCCTTCTCTTTGCTAGGATACAAATTGTGTGCATCACGTCTCAAGAACAAGAGCAGTGCCTAACATAATCTGTTACACATATTTTCTTCAGTGATATTATTTTTCAGATAAACTCATTTCCCTAAATTCTTTCCTTCTATAAGGGAATATTGATCAGATGCCAGTTACCATGCACTGCTCAGGACATTCTGGACCCAGATGAAGCATCCAGCCCAAGACTGGTCACAGATGAGCTACGTTTAGACCAGCATGTTAGAAGTGTTATGGAAACAACATCAGAAGGCAAATGCACAGAGCGGCTTGGTGGTCAGAGCCATCTTCACTCCTGATAAGTTACTTAGTGGCTGTTTGCTGACAATTTTGACTTGGTGTGCTTTCGCCTACAACATTCCCAACTCTGAGATGGCCTCCAGCACAGTGCTTTATTGGCCTGCAATGTGCATTTATAATTAAGCTGAGAAGACACAGACCAGGTAAAACATAGGGGGAAATTTTAGTGGATTAGAAGACAAAGTCATTCTGAGGACCTGGAAAAGTCCTCACTAAGGAAAGCGGCCCTGACATTAGAAATGATGGGATTTTTTCCTGGCCGACAACAGAACAGGCCCACAGCAATCTGGGGCTTTAGTGGCACAAGGGAGAAGAGAAAGAACCCTTGCAGCTGAATTTCCTAATTATTAATCCATTTTTCATGGATTAACAAGACAAACTTTAGGAATGCCGATGTAGGCGTTAAAGCCCAAGGCTGTTCAGAGGACAAATAGAGAAGGGCGAATGCATTGCTACCTGTGCTGACATCCTGGGACAGAACAGGAGAAATTCGCTATTGCTAGAGATATTCTCGGGTCATCTGGGAAACAGTGTTTGAGCTGAACTCTGACCGTGAACTCTGGTTCTCCCTTGGCATCCTCCAAAAATGCACTTGCCTGCCTGCATCATGTGTTAAGAAGTATTGCAAATGTCAGGAGAAGAGACACTATTGTAGGGTTGCATAGATGGCTTAGTTGGTAAAGTACTTGGCACATAAGCCTGAAGACCTGAGTTCTATATCCCAGCACCCACACTGAAAAAATAAGCTGGGTGCAGTGTTGCATGCCTGTAATCCTAGCACTGGGGAAACAGAGACAGGCAGATTCCTGGAGCTTGCTGGCCATTCAGCCTAGCTGAATCTGTGAGCTCCAGGTTCAGTGAGAGATGCTGCCTAAAAAAATAGTAAGGTGAAAGTCAATTTAAAAAGACTCCGACATCATCCTCTGGCCTCTATATTTGTGCATGCACACACACACCCCGAATACATACATATAACACACACATAGACACACCAAAACAAAACAAAAATATTCTTGTCAACAACAACAAAACATGCAGGCAACATTCAAGTCTCTTCATGGTACTTAAGAATAATCATGAAAATAATAATAACGGGTAAGTGAATGGCCCTCTGTGGAGACATATTGAGTTTGCTACAATCCTATACAGTTAGAGTTGTTCTCATCTTCTCATAGATGAGACAACTGCAATGCAGAGTCCAGCACCTGCTCTGAGGTCATAGCCAACCTGCTCTGAGGTCATAGCTAACAGATGGCACAGCCAGGCTCTGTCCCCAGAGCCATGTGAGGGCAGGAATGACGTACATCCTGCCTCCCATGATGCCTTGCCACAGCACATGATCGCCACTTCTTCAGTCAGCTGATAAAAATGCAGAGATTGGGGGCTGGAGAGATGGCTCAGTGGTTAAGAGTACTAACTGCTCTTGCAGAGGACCCGGGTTTGATTCCCAGCACCCACATGGCGGCTACAAACCATCCTTATCTCCAGTTACAGGGGAATCTGACACCCTCTTCTGACCTCCGCAGCATTGCACAACACAGGTGCACCCACATACATGCAGGCAATACACTTAAAATAAAAATAAATAAAATACTTTTTTAAAAAACACAGAGATTGAAAATTCTGCTCCCAGCTCATGTTCTGATCAGAGCTTGAGCTGCATTAATTTCTTTCCAGAATTTCAACCATCAGAAAAAATTAGGTCCAGTGACTGTTAGGGAAAACCTCACTCTGAGTAAGAGTCATCATGCCAGGCAAAGGAGGATGACAGCCACTGCACGGCCCCTCACTCACCAGGATGACTTTCTCGATCTCCTTGGCTGCGCACCAGTGAAACATCCCTGTAGAGTCGTATTTCTTCACATTGGAGTCCATGTTGTCGATCTGATCATTGCCAGGAATTAGTAAGGGGTCATGCCTGGGAATAAAAGGACAGGAACACCTAAGTGGAAAATGTGATCAATTATAAATGGAAAGTGTCCCCTGAGTTACATCTCAAAGGAGATGGAAGATGCAGAGGATGTGGTTGTCACCGGTGACCATCCTCTTTCTTGTAGAGCACATCCCTTGAAAGACAACTGCCCCAAGCCACTCACCCCTCTGGAAGTGCACTTGACTCTGCCAGGTACTAATTCTGCCTTTGTCCTGCCCCTCTTTTTGTAAACGGGTTTTGTGCCATTCTATGGGTTTGGCTGGCCTTTTGTATGGTCTCTCATTCCTTGTTGTCTGATTTTACCAGCTATCCGGGGCCTACCACACACCCCAAAGGGTTGCTATTAGCATTAGCAACGAAGAGGAAGGAACAGCAACAGAGCCTTATGCTGGCTGACTGGCATCAGGATGGAAAGCCAATTACTTGCTCTTTCTGACTACAACTTCTGATGCAATGCTCTCCACAGTAAAAGCTTTAACAGGCTGCACTTTAAATATTTTAGCAATTTGCCCAATCAGATTTTGCTCTCCCTGGATGAAGCCCTTTAAAGATTCAGCAGCATGTCACTTCAGAGCAGATTGACTACCAAATGCCCACATCTGGAATACATGATTTCAATACTAAACAACACCCTCTCTCCTCACCTTGACAACTGTATTTGTGCTAACTGTCCAATGATGGGCCCCCACTCCCATCTCCACTTCCCAACACAGCATTCCTTGGATGAGAGCCTCAAGCTCAGATGCATCTTAATAAACTTGTTTCTAATTCTCAGAGCGACACCCACCCCTTCTAGAAAGATGGTTCTATAGAGGCTCCCTTCCAGTGGGTTGGCAGTGCCTTACTGACAACCTTAGGAATTACAATGAAATCAGGCAGATCTACCATGCCTGCTGCATAATAAACAAGCCCTCTAGTTCAGGTTATGGTCATCAGCCATGATTCTGGCTCTGATATGCTCAGTGTATGAGTGTAGGGGAAGCCCTCATTAGTTTCTACAACCTGATCACATATATAATTAAGATACTGTGTCAGGCAGACTGAATTATCCCTACCAAAAGAAGTTATCTTCCCTGAATAATATTCTCAAGCCAAAAAAGAAAACAGAAACAGGTTCAAATTTCAAGATTGCATGGTGAAATGATTTTACCTTTAAAACAATCTATTTCAAACACCAAAGGCTAATTTCTGCTTATGTTTTAATATTTCACCCTTAGAAATACCTCCTATTTCTCAGCATAGAGCTCAGAATACATAGTGGGGCAGCAATCTCTCCTAACTGGTCTAAGGATAGAATTAAGCTTTAGGATATCTGTTATGACCTTTCCATTATGCCATCCATACACAAAGAAGATGGGAAAACTCTCACTGCATGTGTTTGTTAATTGCTAACAATTTTCTCTGAGGTCACACCAAATGCCTGATACCATGTAAGCCAATATATGGTGCCATCTTCAAGGAGCCCAGCAGAATACTGTAGGAACTCTCATAGCTGATCTTAAAAGGAAAGAAAAACCCAACTCAGTGGTCAGGTTATTGGGAGGGTCTGAGGTACTGCAGACTATGGGGACACCTTTCAAAGATTAATCTGAGTCAAAAATGTTAAAACAAAGGCCAGCAAGATGGCTCAGGAGGTAAAGGAGCTTGCCCCATAAACCTAGAGACCAGAATTTGATCCCTAGAAACCCTAAACACACATAAAAGATGAACTGACTCCCCAAAGTTGTCCTCTGACCATGACACAAACGCCATGGGATGTGTGTCTATACACATGCATCACACACACACACACACACACACACACACACACACACACCTGAAAGTGTGAAATCCTAAAATATAAAGCCAGTTGCTGATAAAAGTCAGTTGTTGGTGAGAACCAGTCACAGAACAAGGTAAGAACAAAGTTTGAAGGTTTGGTCCTAGAGAGATGCCTCGGTGGGTAAAGTGCCTGCTGTGTACTCTGACCTAACTTCAGGTCCCCAGCACCTACAGAAAAGAAGAGACAGGTGGACCTAGGGACCTTACTGGTCAACCAGCTTAGCCCAAACAGGGAATACCAGGTTCAATGAGAGACCCTATGTCCAAGAACAAGGCCGAGAGAAAGAGGACCTTACCCTCAAGCCTCAATGTGTGCATGAATGGATACACACACACACACACACACACACACACACACACACACACACACGTACCTTCCACACACGAATGAGAGATTTTCTTTTCACCTTTGAAAAATCTTATAAAGTTCCATCGATTCAGTATCTATCATCAAGGTAAGTGGATAGAAGCTACCATTAAAAAATAGGCTTGAGAAAATGAACAAAATAAATTCTTCTCAGTTCTTGAACAACATATTTTGGGTTGCAAGAAGATCTTAATAAATGCTCTGAAAATACAAGCATCAAGTTCAAATTATCTTACCCTTGTTTCTTGGTTGGAGAGAAAGTGTTATCATAGGAAGATCTGAGACCTGCTCCCAGGGCATTCGGGTCTTAAAAAGCTATCCATGAATATATTCACATCTTAGCAGCCAAGCAAAGGTTAGAGCAAGCTGGCAAAAATTCATTTTTAAAAAATATGCACCTTTGAGAGAGAGGTGATGTGTTTTCATTTGAAATATGTATTTCTTCCTGAGAAGGAATCATTTCTTGGTAAGAGTGGTCTGTAACCATCATAAGAAAGTAAGGAAGAAAGCTAGATTAGTGATCGCCCCCATTGAGAAGAAAAAAGACAGTGGGTGTCAATTAGGAACTAACTAGGGCTGGGATTTGGGGAAAACAGATACAATTTGACACTAAGGTTACAAGCCATGATTTGTGTTTGAACATCCCAAAACATGGAGGAAGTCTCAGAGGAAGTCTGTGCTACACTCTATCCTCCCCATAGATCTCTGGGCCTGGCCTGGATAATTTAAATGTACATCATCTAGGATTTTCCCCCAAAGGATGTTCCGATATGAGAAACATCAAAAATCTCCCTGAACACAGATATTTCATTTGCAGACCAGACATGGTACCTGGAATTCTAACTTTGGTTTCTTTAATCAGCAAAGCAATGAATAGACATGAATCCCCTATTCTGAGATGGGAAGCAGGAAACAGCAAAGATTAAGACAATGTCCAGTCAAAGAGAGGTTCACAATGTAGCAAGAAAATGAAAATATAAGCCAAAGGTCATGGTACGCTACTGTGTTATAGCAAATTAGCATGCAAGATGATGTGTGGCTTCAAGAAAGAAGTTGTTCAATCCCTAGTGTCTGAGTAGCATCAAGGAAGGTTTTGGGGGGATGGACAAAAGGCAACAGTTGACCTCCTGAGAGGAGGATCACGGGAATAATTGGCATTCCATAAAAAGTGAACATTTTAGTCTTGATCCACCAGCAGCTATTAGAACTCACTCTGAGAACTAAGGCCCAAATAAAATGACAAAAAAAAATGGTACCCAGAAGGATGTCTGGAGATGTCTGGTATGTATTGCTTAACCTAAGCCATAGCAGATTCAAGAAGGTTGTGGGAGAGGTTTTCAGATGTGAATCTGCAATCAACAGAGGATGAAGTCAACTGGCTGATACAGAGAACAAACAAATACTGATGCACAAGCTTATTTAGGTAGACCAAAAGCCATGCTTCCAAAAAGGAAGAATGTTATACAAATCAGTAGTCTGTGAGAAATGAGTTGTTTCCCAAGACAGCAGGTCTATCACTGATGATACAACAAAAGAGCGAGGGATATTAGGAGTGAGTTAGCTAACATTGTTGGGTGATCCTACAGACTTTTCAGGTTTGAAGAAGTAGACTCTCCTTGGTGAGAGCAGCAGTTAGGATTTGGGGAGGACTGGGCTACTGCTGGGCAGTGAAAGGTCAGTGACGAAAGGTTGTTAGAGTAAAGCTAGGAGGGCAGAGCACTGAGCATCAGTTGCTTCATAGGTCCATTAAAGGCATGTCTACTGAATCCCTCTGTCTCGGAGGGAGCTTGGAGTGTGGTTCATTCCAACAACATGAGAATATGTGATTACTTTGGGTCAGACAGGATATATTTCTTTACCGTGTCTGTTTCTGTAGCAATTTTCAAGTGTCTTTCACTGGCTTATGCTACCAAGAGACCTCAGGCACAGGTGGAAAGAGAAGAGCCAGGGGTCTCCAGGATTTCTAGCTCTAAATCGACCACTGATGTGGTCCAGGAAGACCCGGAGGAATCAGGCAGGGTGCTGTGCTTGAGGAGCATCATGGGAAACCTTTCTGAGCAAGGCATCCTAACTTCTCCAGCTTGCAGGATGGTGAGAAGTATTTGTAAAGCCTTCAAGTCAGCTCTTCAAAGACATCGTGGAACTAAGGATGAATACTGCCTTTTACATTGTAATGAATGTGTGTGTATTCTTCAACTTATACAACAATCCCAAGTCTCTGAAGATGCTCCATAATTAATTCAAGGTTCACTTGTCACTTTGGACTTAACCAACGCATCTGTCATATTTTACAGTAATAGAAAGCATACAAGATGAGTTATAACTATGGGTGCTATTTCATTACGATGGGCTCAGTTGTGTCACTTGCATATTGAAGTCCTCATCTTTTGTATTTCAGAATAGGAGCATACTTTGTGATAGGTTTTTGATTTAAAAGAAAAAAAAAAAGCAAGGTCTTTGAGGTGAGCCCTAATATGGTTTTCTTCTTATAAAAAGAGGAAATCTGAATTCAGGTGTGGATAGAGCAAACGCCATATTAAAGTCATAGGAAGAAGAAAAAGTTCTGTGGATCAAGAAGAGAAGCTTGGGGCTTAGCAGTTAAGAGCACTAGCCACTCTTGCAGAGGGCCTGGGTTCGGTTCTCAACACACACATGGACACTAACAACTGTCTGTAACTCCAGTTCCAAGGGATCCAACACCCTCTTCTGGCCTCTGCAGGCTTTGTATAATATAGATACTTACACAGATGCAGGCAAAATATTCATATATATGTATATTTGCGTGGTGGTTAAGAGT